ACGAGTTGTATTTATGTATGTGTGTCCGTCCGCAAAATGAAGTGAGTGAGAAGGAAGCTCATGGGATAAACAAACCGCTAACAAATCGGGTAGCTTACAGGATTTGAGATATCAATGTTTTGTAGCAGGATAGTTGTGATAACACTCTTAGGGCTATATAAACACCTGCTTAGCACACTTCCGTTCATTCCACATGGTGCTGCAGTGGCAGCTGGAGGGCAGTGGAGAGAGGAAGGGAGGATGAGGAAGGGAAGCGAAAATCTACCGTCATATCATGATTGTGTCCCTTCTACTGTTTGAAACACCATTGTGTTGCATACGCGTCACTTCCAGGAGGTGTTGGTGTCACAGGAGGAAGGGACCATAGCGGAGGATAGAAAGCTTGCGCAGGAAAGGAAGGTCCCGGCGGTTGACGGGGGACTAATCTGTCATAATATCATGTCTAAAATATTTCGAGTCCGGCGAATTTTCCATCTGTGGTGGTTCCAAACTTATTGAAGAGCTTGAAATGTTGCTCATAAGGGCTTCTCTGATAGGTTAGACTGCTGCTAGATGTGAACGTGCCAGAGCATTTTACGTTAATAACGCAAACGGGCGAAAGAGATAAAATTCAAGGTGTTTCAGAAAGCGGACTCTAAAGGATCAAAGAGTGCAACAAAGAAAACCAGTGCATCCGCGGAGAAGTCACCAGCTCCAACATCGGTGTTTCCACGTGAACTCCTAGATGTTCCATTAGCTCCCACTCAACCATTGGAAGACGATGCGGTGAGTAGTGCACTCATGTAGCATGGCTCTGGACAGGTGCGACGATCACAATAGGTGGTTGAAAATATCAGTTCACAGAAAAAGGACTTGGTTCAGCGTGTAACCAATTTCTCCCAGAAGAGTCGAAAAAAATAATAGCTCAGGAACATTTTCATATTTTGACTAGCAAGTTTAGTGTAATTTCGCCAAAATGAATGCTCAAAAAGAAATCCCGAAAAAAGAACGGCTAGGATTATACTACAACCCCCCCCCCCTAAAAAACCCTCCATACGCTCCTCTTCGCGCAAACTTACATTTTTTCAACTTTTAACCTGTCAGACTATCAATTTGTGGCACTTATCTTTTATGCCAATACGTTGCGAATTCATGCTGCGTCACTGTTGCAGCCATTGAATAGCCCAGAACAAAAAGGGGCCCCGAAACAGAAAGATGAAAAGAAAGACACGAAAGAAATGAAAGAAGAAAGTCGGAAGCTACTACCATATCCAGAGGTCAAGCCGCCAACTGCCAGCCAAAAGAAGCGAAGGCAGAAAGAACTTGAAAAGGATAAGAAGGAAAAAATTGCTTCTGGTTTCTATCAGGTGATGGTCAAGTTCAAGTTCACTTGCTCTAATAAAAACGAACGAATTTAGTCGCGCTCTGATGAAGACGACACTCTGGAAAAGGTGAACAGTCTGAAGGAAGAGAAGACTGAACAGAGCCGAAGACATTCGATAAAAATCAAGCTAGTGAAGGAAAAAGAGAAGGAAGGCGACAAGAAAGAGGAAAACAAGGACGAAAAAGTTAATGAAAAAGTTAAGCAGCCAACTTGACCCTCAAGTGAGATGTCAAAACAATACGTTATCTAGATGTACAAAAGATAAAACGCGAGTGCAGTGTACAATTTTATAGTTAGAAAATAAACATACGAAATTGCACAGTGTGAGCGCAGATTCGAAAAGTGGACAATTTCACAGCTGAGGCCACGTTCATGGTTCGCGACTTGCGAGGTTAGGACAGTAGGCGGTATCCTACTATATATAATTCGCTAAGTATGTCTGGCTTTGCTTGTCCTGTCCGCACGTACGTCCGTCTCACGGCGACGGACTTTTGTGTGCGTCCGGGATGGCACGCGGCATCGCGCGGCGGCTGCGCGGCGATCCGGATGCAAATCTCGCGGGCGTCTGCAGTGGAATTTACCACGTCAAAATGTGAAACGGATAAATTTCGCAAGGTTCTGCGACTCAATTACATTCCAACGTGCGAAGTTTCAGCGGTGATGGTCAGGAAACTTTAGTAAGAAGGGATGAGAAGGAGCTGACATAAAGCTGTGACAGCGATCAGGGCGTCATGTCGTTGGGAGAGGGGGCACCGCGAAGTGAGTGAGCCAATTACTGTGCTTGGAACTGAGCCTCTGGGAAGGGGATTTTGAGAGCAAATTGTGTTCTTTCCTGGCGTTCCTCCCCCTCCTGGGCTTAGTCCTAGTGTCACCACCATCGGCTGTTTTGAATGTCCTCTTACGATTAGAGACACGAGCGCCACGATCAGTAAAGCAATATATAGTTGACACTGAACAACATTGCAGTAAAAACTCTCCTAATTATAGCGTTCCTTAATCGCATGGGTGATGGAAGTGCCGTTTCCATTAAGGTTCTCCCTTACTTCTTCGCCTGAAATCTCTTTCACAGACACCGCTGCATCAAATCTCCGCGCGCAGAACACTTTTTTCGGAAAGCGCAGAACAATGCGGTGTTTATCCGCAATCTGATACGCTTTGACGTTTCGAATTCTACTGCAGAACACGCGAAGCCTCGTCTCATCCGGATCGCCGCGCATGCCGCCGCGCAATTCGCCGCGTGCAACCCCGGACGCACCAAAAGTCCCGCACGTCCGTCTGTCACGAAATTCATAGCGCGCTTCGCTGCAGGCATGGAACGCTGTATTTTGAGTATGGTGTAGGGGTGGGACGGCAACATATTTGGTGGGGTTTATAAAGTGATACCGACTGATAAGATCTGATAAGAGGCGCCAAAACGCCAATTTCATGATATTCATAGCGCGTGTCCCAGCAGTGGTGGGGCGTTGGTTCCAAGAAGTGATGTACAGCGTGGGACGGGAACATATTTGGTGGGGTTTAGAAAGTGATACCCAATGATAAGATCTGATAAGAGGCGCTGAAACGCAAATTTCACGAAATTCATAGCGCGCGTCCCAGCAGCAGTGGGGCGTTGGTTCCAAGAAGTGATGTACAGGGTGGGACGGGAACATGTTCGGTGGGGTACAGGAAGTGATAAGGGCTGATAAGATCTGATAAGAGGCGCCAAAACGCCAATTTCATGATATTCATAGCGCGTGTCCCAGCAGTGGTGGGGCGTTGGTTCCAAGAAGTGATGTACAGCGTGGGACGGGAACATATTTGGTGGGGTTTAGAAAGTGATACCCAATGATAAGATCTGATAAGAGGCGCTGAAACGCAAATTTCACGAAATTCATAGCGCGCGTCCCAGCAGTGGGGCGTTGGTTCCAAGAAGTGATGTACAGGGTGGGACGGGAACATGTTCGGTGGGGTACAGAAAGTGATAAGGGCTGATAAGGGTTGATAAGAGGCGCCAAAACGCCAATTTCATGATATTCATAGCGCGTGTCCAGCAGTGTGGGGCGTTGGTTCCAAGAAGTGATGTACAGCGTGGGACGGGAACATATTTGGTAGGGTTCAGAACCTATATAAAAGATCTATAAGATCGCCTGAAACGGCAAATTTTTACAAGCCACTTAAATTCCAAAAGCGCTTGTCCTCAGCGGTTTGGGCGTTGGATCTCCAGAATGATTACAGCATGGAGCTGGGAACGATGTACGCGATGAAAGGTATACGAGTGATAAGAGCCGATAATCACGTGGAAACATATGGGATCGCTGAAACCGTGGTTCTAGATAACGCATTTCACTTCAGAATCATCTCATTGCGTTGTTGTCATCAACATAAAATACCGTTCGACCGCTATATTCCCAAAATCCCTAAGAATGTATGATGGATGTTTAGCGATATACGATATTGGGTATTTCTATTGCAAAATCATTGGCATCAATATTATTCGACCGCTAAATCATCCTGACATCCAATGCATGGTGGCTGTTTACAGACACCACTGTAGCTCCGCACTCCACCGCGCGTATCAGACGGTTGGTTAAAAATGGGCATTCTGTAGAAGGCCAGCTAACGCATTTCGCGAAGAAAGTTATTGTTAGCATCAGAACCTAACGCTCCTCCGCTGGCCAAGCTTTACGGACCCTTCTTCATGCAACGCTGTATGTGCGCGAGCTAAAGCGGTGATTATTAACAAAAGTATTCAGAGAAAATTAAGCTGTCCCACGTTAGATAAGTTTTTTGTTGAAATCCGTCCGTGATTTCCGGCAGTTCCCCATCCATTTGTACGCACCAAGCCAAACTTAGGGTTTGCAAGCAAGTTGACACCGCTCCGTGGCGCAAAGCGCGAACAGAGGAGAATTATGGCGGAATTGTTAGTGAGCTCATGCGCCTTTCGCAAAGTTTGAGGTCTCAAGACGTGGCAGAGTGGTAGAGTGCAGACTTTCAACTAGTAGCCCTATGACTACTTATCACAGACGATTGAATGGCACGCCCCAGAGCATGAGATCTTGCTGAATCTCTTCATATTCCAGTGACCATGAGCCAACTAATAATTCTTCCAGTGAAACCTCGATGACCAAATCGCAGGAGTAGAGAGTGCAACAAGTTTGGCCGATCAACTTCCAGAGTCCTAAGTGAAAATTCTGGCGAAAGAAATGTTTTCAGTTAGAACTTTTCAGGAGAATCTAGTGTGTAGTATAAAGTGATCTTGTGAATTCCCAAAGAAAACTCGTGTTTTACTCGGTGCTGGGGAAGGTGCCCAGAAAGGATTGGCAGTAGCTTGATTGGCAATAGGCGGATCTGAAGAAGGATTGGCTAGCTCCGGGGCAAAGCAACTAGGGTATGTACCTATAGCCGCAAAAAAGCCACATCTTGTATCCTCAGGCTCTTGAATACTACTTCTTCTGGAGTACTCCCATTCACACACTGTCGTAATCTCCGCTTTAACATGCACACACACACCTGATTGCACTCCTTTTTTAACTCAGCAAATGTAGCAACCACTTGGCTGTGTTTTAGCTCTACAATTGAGTATGGGAGCACTTCGGCTCTCATGATTCTGCACTCTAATGCGACGTTGTTATATCGATGGCGCAGTGCCTTCATTCTATTATACTTTAGTAGGCAGGCTTGGGGTGAGAAGTTCTAGGATAGTAATTTTTTGAAGCCAGAATAAGCGTTCCTTTTTTCAATCGTATGTGAATTAGCGCATACTCTGCGATGCATCGCTCCAATCTCACTTCTGGGATGTGGAGTTCAGTATCTGAATTCGAGAAACAAACTTTTGTTTGCAAGGTGATGAAGCTGTACAATAAGCTCAGGGCCACCTCGTGGTCTTCCATTTGCTCACTATTCATTAGAGCCAAGAATCACCACATTGGAGCATAAGTTGAGGATAGTTTTCAACCATCTATGATGTACCATTGATGACCTAGCTTCAACGTAGCCTATCATGTGGACGCGACAACGCGCGCTATTAAAGGCAAACCCCGGGATTATAGCTGGTGCTACGAGCGCTTCATAGTGACAGCTTAGCTGCGGAATGACCTGAAAGTGGAAAGGAAAGCAAGAGAAACTTTGGGAACGCTGCAATTAAGGCCTTAACCTTCAATAAGGTCGGATGTGGTACGACGGCGAGACAGGGCGATCAAAGAGGAAAACACGCGAGAGAGCACGTCGTTTGAGAGAGCACGCTGATCTCTACATCAATGCACGCTGATCTCACCACATCTCGCGGTGGGTGGGAAGCGTTGGAACGGGGTCGATGGTTGCAGGCCCGTAAGGATTAGCGCCCTAACCGCGCATTTTTGCGACGAAGCTGGAGTGATCTAGGTAGGTACGGACCTTACAATTTCCCTCGCGGTATCCTTCCTACTAGTCGGGCTAATCCCGGGGTTTGCCTTTAGATTGGCATGACACATGACATAGCAGTGCTGTTGACTCTCATATCAGGGGAATTCGAACTGTTTTATATACTGTGTGAAAGCATCAACAACTCTCGAAGATTCATTAAATAGTAAGAAACTAACGTTAATCAACAAAAATTAAAATCGATAAATGGTCACGGTTCAATCGTTTTGTCTAGCTTTATGAAGCGTTACTAAATGCAGTGTTTTCAAGTGTTCTACAAGCGGTCACTGTGGAGAACCCCTAGGTTCTTGTAATTTTGGCTTTTCGTCCCTTGAAGATTTCTTAGCAGAAACGTCAGGAGATGGCGCTGAGGTTTTTTGTGAATGCTGCTGTGATTCCGTCACCAACGGCTTGTCTTCTTTAGGTGCACCCTCGGAAGGACCTTCGGAACCCTTTTTAGGTGATTGTTGTGCTTTGCTTTCTTTTTGCTGAACAACATCCTTCTTAACTGGAATCCTTTTTGAATACTGGGTTTGGTCTTCCAGTGGTAATCTCCGAGGCTCCTTTGATGATTCACTTGGTTCTACAGTGGTCCCTTGTGAAGGCGCTAGTAGTTGTTGCGCCATGCGATTCCTCCATTTATTGTCACGTGCGCTTATGTCGCGCAGCTCTCTCTCAGACTTCTGCGAATGGCGAACACCTATAAAATCAGATCTACTTCAACTGTGAGAACAGCAGCTATTCAGATACACAAGAAACGCAATGAATGGAACAGTTCTCCCGAGAAAGAGTGAGAAAGGAAAAAAAACATGAAAAACAAAGAAAAAAGAAAAAGAT